TGGATTGATCAACATGTCAAATTATCATTAGTCCATAGCATTTCACATGGGCTTAGGAAAAAAAACATCGCATTGAGTGAGGCTTGCGTTCTATATCACGTGTATAGAATTGATAAATCATTTACTTGAATACCAATTAAAAAAAAAAGAACTGATATTCTACATGGAAACTTGAAAGTTTGTTAGAAAGTCAAGAAAATATTATGAGTGATACATACTTCAATATAATGCAACCAATTGATTTCTACAAAAGAAACGAGTAATTAATGGATACTTTCTTTTATCTCGCTTGGGAAGTAATATAATTGGTCGTTGCAATTCGTGCTTGAATTGCTTTTTGGATAGGAGGATGTTTTGTTGATGTTAGCTTGGAAGAAATTTGAAAAGTTCGGTTTGATTGTTGAGATTTGGATCTTTCTTTTCTCTCTCTCGGGAAGTAATTAATGGATACTCTTTCTTTTATCTCTCCAATGGGAAGAAGTGGGCCATGAAATCATGTGTTTGGCACTTAATCATAACACATGTTAAATAATATACAAAAATTTATGAACCACATCAATATTCTTGTACTTTAAAATTGAAAATATTAAATTTTCATCGTGCATTTGTAATCCTTCCAATATTTCAAGGTATCCCTTCTCGTTTCATATAGTTAACACTGTTTTTCAGTAATTTCTTTTCTCATTAATATGGATTAAGATTCAAGTCAAATTCAACTACAATTCATGATTTGAAAATATTAAATTCTAATTTGTCACATCAATATCTTATAACATTATATATTAATTTAACTTTTAATATAGATTTTTTTTTTGTAAAAAGAGGATTAGCAAAAAATCTTATGTTAGGAGGGTCAGCCAAATAAGTTAAGCACTATAAGTTTAGAGAATCATTCAAGGGAGTCAGCCATATTAATTGCCACAGAACATCTCAATCTTCCTTTTTATATCTATCATTTAGTGTCAATTTTTTTATCTACCTTCAATATGGGATAGACAAAACTCAATCACAGTTCATGATTAAAGAATACTCAATCTTAAGGTGTCACATTGATGGTTATGGTTCTTACTTTTAAATATAGAGAGAATAAAGATTATATATATATAATTAATTTTTAATATTGATTAAACCTTCTTGCAAAAAGAGAGTTGACCAAAATGAACAAACCTCATATGTTCGGAGGGTCGGCCAAAATGCTCTAACCACAGATATTAAGAGAATCAACCAAGAGGAACCAACCTTATAATTTGTCACAAAGGCATCTCAACCTTATTTTACATATCTAACATTCTTTTTCAATCTTTCAACTCTCAATCAGTGTGAGATATATAAAACTCAATCATAATTCAAGATTGAAAAATATTCAATTATTAGGGTGTCGCATCAACGGTTCCGCTTCTTACTTTCAAAAACATATTAAAATTATCTCTTCAATAAATATTTAGTATAGATTAATTTTTTCATAAAAAAGGGTTGGTCAAAATTAGTCAATCGCATATGTTTAGAAGTTCAGTCAAAATGATCCAACCACGTGAGTTTAGACAATTGCTTGTGAATTTAGACAATTGCTCGTGAATTTAGACAATTGCTCCAAACATTTAAAGTTAAACATGGCTTATATAGCCAAATGAACCTTTTAATTTTTAAAGGAAACTCATATTTCTCTTATATACTCATTTTCCTCATTGATGTATCAATTTCTAATAAATGATTCAATGTCGATACCCAAAATCCAACCACAATGCAAGAATTCTAAAATATTTGATTTTAATGATGTCACCTTATTATTTTATAGCTTTATTTTGTATTGATATATATTGATTTTTTATATATAGACAACTTTTTTTGCAAATAGAGTGTTCGTCAAAATGAACAAACCCCATGAGTTTAGAGGGTTAGCCAACATGAACCAGTGATATGAGTTTATAGAATTAGCCAAGATAACCCAACCTCGTGAGTTAAAATAAAGGCATATCAACATCCTCTTATATACCTACCATTAATTGTCGATCTTTCATCTCTCCATCATATGGGATGCACAAACTCAACCTCAATGCAAGAAATATATAATACTCAATCCTTAGG